AGGTGTTTAATGTGTCGCCGTCCTGGCACTTGAGTGACTCACTATCGTGGACTGTACCATTAACATTCTGGGGAGACAAATTTAAGAAAATATGTAACAAATAGATTGGATCTGCGTTAAAAAAAAAATATGGCGTTTGCCATATATTACTCCAAACTCGGTGAGCACCGGAAGCTGTTTAGGGTTTAGTGTGGAGGAAACTTTCATGAAGTTTATTTAATGCTGAAGTCTGATCTGCTTATATTTTGACTTCCCTGGTTCCTCCCCTCCCCCTTCTTCATCAAAATACTAATGACATTAAAAAAGAAAAAAATGTATTTTCATTACATACTTTATTTTAGACTCAGTGACGTCATCACTGGATCTCTGTACTTCTCTATGCCATCATGCCTCCCAACTTTGGAATTTGTGAAAGAGGGACGTTTTGGGACGGAGAGGAAATGCGGCTTGGCAAAAATAAGTATGCCTACTTAGTGCTGATTATTGAGTGTGGCTTAAAGGAACATGCTAAAGTAGCTCTAGTATACTCTGTACATGGGCCACACTCTGTGTGCCCACAAAATACCCCTTAAAGGGCAAGTAGGTGAAGTAGCAACAAGTCCCAAGTCAAAAGCCAAGTAGGTATAAGTCACACTTGCAGCTGGAACTAGGCCTTTGACATCACCCTCTCTCTGCAGGTTGTCTTTAGGGCATGTGGTGAACACAGAAACTACACCAGGTATGAGCACCAAAGGGGGTATAGCTCAGTGGTAGAGCATTCGACTGCAGATCGAGAGGTCCCTGGTTCAAATCCGGGTGCCCCCTCATGTGGTTTTATTCCTGGGCCATGATTGCTGTGAATCAGAGAACCGAAATGGAGGAATATATTGGGGGCGGAGACTAAGCTGCTGCAAAACACATAGGAAAAAAAATGCTAAGGAGATATAGATATATATATTTTGGCAGCCCAAACACAACCTCCGGCCGCAATGCCCTCGACAGTACTGTGTGTTGTTTTGCTGCATGCACTCCTTTTTTTTTTTTAGTCCACACACGCACGCACGCAACGCTATGGTGTCAATGGGCCTTTAGCCTCCTTGCACACCTAGACGTTCCAGGAATGCGCCTCGTTTCCACATTTTGTTGGGGGGGGCCCCCCGGGGGGGGGGGGGGGATTGAGGGGGCGTGGCTGCTGTGCCATTGATTTTAATGCACCACCACTCCCCCTCCCACAACTGAATGCAGGGAGTCGGCCAGCTTGCGTTCCAGTGGCCAAACCAAACGCACTGGAACGTGGAGTTTGTGGTGTGAACCGGCCGTCACACCAGACACATAGTGCGTACCGGCCAGAACGCATTGCATTGCAGCCGGCTCACTATGTTGTGGTGCAGGAGGGGGTGTGGCGGTCCATTGAAGTGAATGGCTCTGTAGCCATGCCCTTCGGCCACAATGTGATTGGCTGCACGGTAACGCAAGTCACATTATGCAAGTCACATTATGCCTGCAGTCCGGTGCGAACAAAATAGTGCTTGCAGCATTTTGTCCGGGACAGACCGCAGATCTTGATGTGTTTTACGTTCCCATGCGGCCGATCGCATTGTGGCCAGAGGGTGTGGCTACGGTGACATGCAAGGCACATCAATGCTTGCGGTCGGGTCCGGACAAAATGCTGCAAGCACTATTTTGTTCGGAACGGACTGCAGGCATAATGTGCCTTGTGTTCCAGTGCAGCCAATCGTATTGCGGCCGGAGGGCATGGCTACGGTGCCATTCACTTCAATGGACCGCCACGTCCCCTCCTGCCCCACAGCATAGCGAGCCGGCCGCAATGCGCTGCAGTGCGTTCTGGCCAGAATTGTGCCGCAACGCACTGTGCCTGGTGTGGACGAGGCCTTAGGTCTACTATCAACTGCAGGCTGCTACAATGTTTCAGACACGTTGCAGGGTTGCTGTTAGGGACCATTCACACTACATGTTGCGGTAAGACATGGCAGCACATTAATTGCATTGGTGTGATATGGCGATTCCTAATGGTACACCCGTGCACCTCACAGACAGGTGTGCGTAGAGGCAGCACACAGACCAGGGGTGGGGAACCTCTGCCTCTCCAGTTGGGGTGAAACTACAAATCCCAAGAGTCTCACAGCCACAACTCCCGGAGACAAATGCATCATGGGATTTGTAGTTTCATTTTATAGTAAATACGGCTCTGCTCAGTGCTGCAGATTACAGAGTGGTTCTTCCGGCGCAAGGTTGCACGGTCACTATGACAGCCGATCTCTGTGCTCCCTTTCGGAGGGAAGTCCGAGTGTCCTGGTACAGAACTGGGCCCGCTGCCACAGGGACAGTAGAGCTTCACAGAATTCCCCCTCTCTCCGAGGAGTCCAACAGGAGACAGCTGCCAGGCGATGTGAAGAAAGGAGACGCTCCTACCCGAGGTGGGTGTCCTCCTCTCACTTCCAGGGACACTGCTGAACCTGTAAATATAAAATTCCTGGTACCTTAGGTTGACACACATGCAGAAGCCATCGAGTGAATGTGGCTGGGGAAGCATACAT